CACTGAAATAATAAGGGATCACATATTCGCAGGCAACATTTGGATTACAAATACATATACACACGTGGGCTGCAAGGCACAGTCACTGAGTGTGAGCGACTGTCACATGACTGCCCTGACCAGGAGCTGAAGCTCCACAACACTGCCTTTTCCAATCACCTCCAGCCGCTTTCAGCATGAAGCCAATCGAAATATGCCAATTTTTCATCAAAACTTTAACAGTATGGACTAAAAACCATTCACTCACGATTCTGGTTACTTTAAAATTTGGTATGCTGTATCTCAAATACATTAGTAACTATTCCTAGATGGAAATAAGCAAATACATGGAATCGTTAAAAAAAAAGATAAAAAAAAAAAATCACTAAATGTCCATTTGTACAGACAACATTAGCAAACATCTAAAATTTCTTCAGTAAAAGAAAAACGTGTATTTTTAACCCTTTGGTATCCAAACTCTTTAATTATGAAGACTTTCTTAAATATAGTCTTCAGGTAACAAGAGGAAGAAACTATTTTTTCAAGTATTTACCTGAATAAATTTGGTGCCAAGTTTTCATTTCAAGGTCAACATTACTGAGGATAGTTTTACACTGTAACTGAACCCCAATTATGTTTGCATACATTAAAACATAAAAGCATCATTCATAGAGTCCAGTAAAATGCTTCATGTGTTCCCACTATAATTTAGCAAAGGAAAAAGATATTTGGATCTGGAAATCATTGGCTATTTGAAAGCAGTCATTAAACAATTATCAGAATCTAGATTATTCAAGGTGTTGTGAAACAAATAAAAATTCTAAACGAAGTATGTCAACAACTTTAGAGGACCGTCACTCCACCCCTGCTCCTTGTCTGGCAGGCAGAAGGACCTTCAGAACCATCTCAGGAAGTAAGTAGTTCCTCCACCAGGCCGGCAGCGCTTCAATGAAAGGGAGAAAGAGCCAGCCAACAGCAGGATCAGACAAGTCAGCCAGAGTGACAATGTGGTAAGGGAGGAAGACTAGGCGGGGAGGAGGGCAGGAAGGCAGAGGACCCCAAATCAGAAACTAATTCAGAGTTATGATTCTAATAAATTCATAGACTACTACTGTTCAGGGCAAACAGGTGAACCAATGAAAAGAAACCACAAATTTCAAATATGAATGAACAGCCAACTCTGTTAGCCTGGGCTAGATTTTGCCCCAGGCAGCAGTTACAATCAAACCTCTGACACAAACATGAAATATGCTCATGGCATGTATGTGCCCTAACAGGAATTCTGCTTCCAGACAGGGCTCTCTGGGCGAGCACACGAGGCTGGGGCATAAATGTGATCCCCCATTACAAATCAAACTAAAATGAACTCAATTTCAATTAAAAATGTCTAAAAGTTCAGTAGTCTATATGGTTTTGCAGCATTAAAACAAAATCTATTAAGATAACATTTTAGACTTTTGTGACTACAGCCAACTATGCCTATTTTCTAAATTAGGCAAGAAGGATTTTTCTAGAGTGACTCACCGAACTTGCTTACATAAGGCTAGTGATGCTTCTCTGAGTATCTGATGACCACAGTTCTTGGGATCAGAATGATGAAGCTAGAGTATGTTGCCCACGTGAAGATCTGGTCACCACGGAATTAGGGGCTTCTACAGAAATGCTCTGCTCTCGGAAGCTAGGACACTCTGTCGTGACCTAATTAAATGCTAGCACCCGTGTGACGTGGCACAGAATGGGCCAGCAAATCTGCCCGAAGTCCAAGCAATTCTAGTTTCACTCTCAATCCCGCCAAGTCCCTTCCTTTCTACTCAGAGGCAGAAAAAAGGCTATTTCAATATCTGGTTGACACAGTAACGTCCCCCACTTTGCCTCTCAAGAAAACAAAGTAACCAAGGTTAACTGGTGCCAAAATACTGAAAGTAAAGATAGTAGTAATTCAAGGTTCAAAACCTGGTTTACAACTTCAGTAATCAAAGGGTCTTAATTATCAGCAGGTAGTTCAGTGCCCAAGTCTTTCTTCAAAATCACAGGAAGACTTGATCTTACATTGCTACTGATTCCACTATCAGAAAGAAAAGAGGCAGTGGTGGTTTACATGTTAGTACGTGCCTCTCGGATGAAAACCCTTCAGGGCGAGCAGTACTCAGGGAGTGGCTACAACGGAAGAATTGTCATACAAGCAATACCTCACTTAAGAGAACTCCATACCTGCCATACTTGAGAAGAGTCTGCAGAAGTTCAGGGAATTTAAAGTATGCAAACATTTAACTTGGTCACAGAATTAGTACTTAATCCTATGTATTTTTACTTCTGGATGTAAACAATGGCAAATGATGACCATTGTTATAAGCCAGAAACAAAAACCTCATGAGAAAAAGAAAACTTGGCACCAAGACTCAAGATGTAAAAGAGAAGGGGAAAAAAAAAAAAAAACTCCATCAACATACTCACGTGTGGTGCTAGAAAATGTTATACACGGTGCCCAGCGGCTGACATGCGTTATCGTACAGACGCGGCCTATATTGACAAGTGAGTTACACAACAAACCATTCTAGCCACAGATGCGGGGTACACTTGCCCTCATCAATATCTACCCAGTGACCAAAAAAGCAGCAACTTAAGATTTTGGTCATTTTATGCAGCTGATACAAAAAAAAAAAAAAAAAAAGGTAGGAATTAATAACAAAATTAATCACCACCACCAAGTGTGACAAAATACTGATACAAGACAGCTTGCAATCTCTTCACAGGAAAAGAAAAAGTTTATATTATTGCATGTAATATGAAGAATCAGTAATCTGGCCCATTCTGAACTGGAAAAAATATAATCACTTTGGTAAGTAAATTTATACCGTGACCCTTGAACCTCTTAAAAAAAACAACAGAAAGGCACGTTACTTGCTAGGACTACTCTTTACCATATGAGCAGTGTTACAGCAAACAAGGGAGATCTATGTACCATTAATTTGGGGGACTCAAACTATTATCTGTTGGTAGGCTAAAAGTCTTAAAACTATAAAAATGTGCAGAACAAATAAATATCAAAAAGCAATTTATAAATTAGCTTCTCAGCAAAACTGGCAATTTCTCCAGATGCGAAAACTAAATAACCACATATACAATTGATTCCCAATGCTCTGTCTCCAGGCCAAAGACCTAGAATCTTAAGAACCACTTTTGGGTAGGTGGCTCAGGGTAAACACTTCTTCTAAAAAAACATCTGAAGGTTCAGGCCAGGGAAATCACCATAATGCAGGGTCTCGAGGGGGTGGCTCTTATACTGAGGAAAAACAGACTGGCACTCGAGGCCTAGCTCAGTCACACTTGGTGGGAAAAAGACACTTGAGGGCCCTGTAACCAAGGACAGAATTGTAAATAAAAGGTTCTCATTTTAGAAAGACACCTATTAAAAAAAAGGACATAGAGGTCAATATTTATTGGCTCAAAGGATTAAGCTATTCATTGAAATGAAGAGAACTAACATCTTAGTAATAAAATGTTCAGGACCAATTAGACTATTGCTTAGAAAAGTCATTAAAAAGGTCAACTTCTAATTATTATTTCGATAAATGACAAGCAATTTGATCATTGATTTTATATGACTCTGTATTTCATAATCAAAGCTTCTGTTATGAAAATCAAAGATTGGAGTTTTTAATCTAAACACAGCTAAGAAAACTGCATATAGAACTTCAGTTTGAAGCAATTCATTGAGAATCAACTCAAATTGTGTAACATATATTTGTGTTATCCATTGTTTTTACATTACCTGAAGTCATAACTACATATGAAGTCACAAAGTGCCCTGCAATGTAACAGTTAATACAGGGCATATTTACAATACTAAATTTCTATGGAAGTAAAAGATCCAAGCCAAAACCAATGACTTAACAATATAACATTTAATGAAACAGAAGCTAAGATCCTAGGAGCCAAATGACAGCCCCTGGTATTAGGCCTTGCATTAATTAACCTATATGGTTTTGCTATCCAGGATCTATTTTCAATAGATTTATTATAACACAGAGTCAAAACAATGAAGTGGAAACCAAAGGGTTAAACTAAGTTAGTTTTGTGGGTTTATTTCTCCCAAAGTCTAGATTTTCACAATTCCAATTAGAATAAAGTGCTTTGTAATTAATTTTTATGAAATAGTCACGACACTTAAAACAAAAAAGCTGACATTGTAGTTATTTTGGTTATTACAGCTCTATAGCTTACACTCAACATTTAAGGGTGAAAACCGCATCCATTTTGTTAATGCTGTGAACTGCAGAAGAAAAATGTTTATAATATAAATCTTTAAGAGAAAGTTAATACAAATGAATTTAATACCTAAAATAAACGTTTACTGCCAAAGCTAGCTAATGACTTTTGCATTAAGACCACATCTTTAAATTAATACACTTAGATACTAATACTGTTCTATCAAACCACCAATAAACTAGATAAGATTACAAAAATGTCACCAGTATGAAGAGCTCTGAGTCTGAAGTCTTTAATGTATATGGTTCAACTTTACAAGAAGTTATAAATTAAAAGTCAAAACGGGCTTTACTGCACACTGTTCTCACATCTGCTAGAAAATGAGAAAATCACCACTTAGAAAAGCTAAGTGTTTGCAAGAATTTGGGGACCAGAGAGGCCTGAAAAGATGTTCTAACCCAATCCAAGGGCCTCATTTTGAAGTTAACACTGGCAAAATAAGTCTGAGGACTTGCCCATGGTGATACAACTAGTTAGTGGCAAAGTCAACAATGCCAGGTTCCAAGCTCAATTAGTTTAACTGCTTTTTCTATCCTCGCCTGCTGTCATGGCAACAATCCTGTTGCTGCCAGGATGAAGCTCCCTCCGCTAGCAAAACCTTGCCCACTAATGCCAACTGATCTATAAAAAGCAAAGTTACACTGCTACTAGAAACACAAACTTGAGGACTGCTACTTGCTCTCAGTACATGCTGTCTATAAGCACAGTGCCCTGACTAGCTCTCTGGTGGAGGAATAAGTGAAGGCACTTACTCGATGTGAGCCCCATTGGCCACCAGGGCACTGACGCAGTCCAGGCTCCCAGAGCGAGCCGCCTTGTGAATGGGGGTCTCGCCCTCACAGTCCTGCAACAACAGAAGGCACACACAGCATATCAGATCTAACAAGACTGACATTTTCAAGGTAAACAATTGACACAGACCATGTACCTCGTTCTTCCTTGAGACAAAACAACACAGCAAGTCAAATTTAAAGAACACCACACAGAAATATAGCTAGAGAGATGCTGGAGGGAAAATAACAGGCCACAGAAACGGCATGTTTTCCTGAATTCCTGGGTCAAGAACAAAGAGTTGTGGGGCCTCTCCAGCAGGGATAGCATGTACACTCCACATGGAAGTCAAGAAATCACTTTATGCTGATCTCAGCACAAATGTGTTGTACTTAAAACCCAAAACAATTATCCTCTAACAGGATAAAAAGAAAAAAGCAAGCAAGGCCAAGGAACGGCACATACCATCACACACCTGGTCTGGTCTATCTACATGTGTCCACATCCGCCACAGGGCTGGCCTGAGCTGGGACAGCACCAGTGGCCCCCTGCGCCCCAATTACAACTATACTTTAGACAAGGAGGGTTAAGGTAAAAGGGTCAGGAATGATGAGGAAGAGGACCCGGGACCATACACAGCCTACTTCGTCCAAAGACCCCGACAAAGGCTGCCTCTGTCTGAGTGGGGCTTGTACTTCAGAATAATGCTGAGAAAGCAGAGAAAGTGAGCCAACTCTGGGAGTGACAGTGAAGGAGATGAATGAGTTTGCACTGTATGAATGGGGAAGAACCTGAAATATGATTTCATTCACAGGCTCTCTGGTTCGCAAGACGGAAAGACAGATATAGTAATCAAGAGAAGGATGCGGTTTCTGCTAGAAACAATGATGCAGGGCCTCCTGCCTGACCAAGCAGCACAGCTACGGAGTCCTCACACTTTACCATCCCTGGAAGCCAAACCTGGCAGCAGACCACTACCCGTAACTGAGGGAGGAGTGGCTGTGTTCTGGGCGTGGCACCCAGAGACAAGCTCATTCAGAAACTGGGACACAGCCGAGCTCTCTCCCTACTGCTCCTGGCCTGTACTTCCACAGGAATCCCGGGGTACAGCCCAAAGTGAAGAGTGCTAGCTTCTACAACCAAATGTTACCTGAGAGACTCCAGTGTGTCATGGAGAGAAAAGTGTAAACACTGATTTAAAGTGAGCTCAAAGGTGATGGAAAGTTCTACACAGAATAAGCCTATTTCCAAAGAAAGAAACGCAGAATTCCATGTGGCTACCCAGGGAGCCATTAAGTGAAGTCAGATTTTTTTTTTTAAAGGGTATTTTATTTGGGGTGGGGGGGGCGCAAGCATGAGGAGGGTGGAGGCCAGAGGGAGAAGCAGGCTCCCCGCTGAGCAGGGAGCCTGAACCAAAACTGGATCCTGGGACTGGGATCTGGGACTTGATCCCAGGACTGTGGATCATGACCCGAGCTGAAGTTAGACACTTCACCCATGGAGCCACCCAGGTGCCCCTCAGATTCTTAACAAAACCTACCCCCAAACTCCCAAAAAGATGGGGGAGAGGGAGACAGGAAGTAGGTACGACTGCAGGTAAGTACTTCCAGGAGGATGGCATGAAGACTTAGGGGAGGTGGTCCCGCTCTGAACCCCACCCCACCCTCACTAGGAAAACAAAAGAGGTTTTTGGAGCAAGGACAAGTAAAGTTTGCTCTATTACTCCAAGAAGATGGTGGGACAGAGGATGAAGCAAACTAGCTCCAGAACTGCTTCCCCCAGGATACCCCCAAGCCAGGAAGGGAAGAACAGTCAAAAACACTCAGCCCCTGGGATCCCTGGGTGGCTCAGTGGTTTAGTGCCTGCCTTCAGCCCAGGGTGTGATCCTGGAGTCCCGGGGTTGAGGCCCACATCGGGCTCCCTGCATGGAGGCTGCTTCTCTCTGCCTGTGTCTCTGTCTCTCGTGAATAAATAAATAAATCTTAAAAAAAACAAAAACAAAAACAAAAACACTCAGCCCAGACAGTTCGAGGAGCAGCCATCATAAGTTCCTTAGGCCTCAGGCTCAGACAAGTCACATTCCAAAAATATCAAATATTCTGGAGTATGATTCCAGAACTATTGTGGGCAAAGTGAGTAATGAGGGGAAGTGGGAGCCGGAGACTACGAGTCACCTTGAATTGCAAATAAAGTCCAGTTCTGATCCAGTTACGAGACATCAAGGGTGGTACTGAATGCTAATGAAATTCTAGACCAGCAGTGAATAGATAGCCTACAGATCCTTACAGAACGTGATGCCCATGGGTTGTCGTCATAGATGGATCTAGAAGAAATCCCTTGGAGTCGGAATGCCCCTGTCCCTAGGGACATGGAGCCTCTGCACCACACATGAATCACCCCCTGGCGCCGGGCTGTAGGCGCAAACACAGTCTCCGTGAGGTTTGAGGAGGATCCCGACAGCCGATAACTAAGGTGCCAGAAGATGGACATGAACAAGACAGGAGAAAGAAGAAATGCCATGGCAGCTCTGGGAGCATGGCTGGACTTAGGAAATCCTGGTTCTGGGTCTCTAACAGTTTATGTGGGAAACGAGACACGCTCCAGCTCAGGATGAGTCAACAGTTGGGGGGCTGCTATGACCTCTGAGGGCACTGGTGCCTGTCCCCTACATGGTGACAGCTGATACTCAGACCATAGCCCCACCCATGATAGCACAGCAGAGACCCTTTCAGGAACCATGCTGGGACACCCAGTGACCTCAGGTGACAGCCTCGGGCATGAGAAGGTGGGGGCCTGGGGGACTCCTGCCCTGGGAGCAGAGCGCAGAGGGTCCCCACACAGGACTCTCTAGAGCAGCAGCCCCTCATCCAGGCCAGACGGAACTGCTACAATGAAAAAGAGCTCCTAGGGATCCCTGGGTGGCGCAGTGGTTTGGCGCCTGCCTTTGGCCCAGGGCGCGATCCTGGAGACCAGGATCGAATCCCACATCGGGCTCCCGGTGCGTGGAGCCTGCTTCTCCCTCTGCCTGTGTCTCTGCCTCTCTCTCTCTGTATGACTATCATAAATAAATAATAAAAAAAAAAAAAAAGAAAAGAAAAAGAGCTCCTAGAATTAAACGGTCTGAGAGGCAGTGCTACAGGATTTCTCTAGACCTCTACAAATTAGGGGCTACAGAAAAGCTGAATGAAAACCAACAGAGGGGTGCCTGGGGAGCTCAGTGAATGTCTGCCTTCGATTCAGGGCATGATCTCAGGGTCCTGGGATCATCCCATCCAGCTCCCTGCTCAGTGGGGAGTCTGCTTCTCCCTCTGCCCCTCCTCCCACTTGTGCTCATCTGCTCTCTCAAATAAATAAAATCTTAAAAAAAGAAAAGAAAATCAATATTCTAAAGTTTCGTAGATTTTTTTGAAGATTTTATTTATTTATTCACGAGAGATGCAGAGACAGGCAGAGGAGATGCAGGCTTCCTCACAAGTTGTTATACCTACTTATCAACAACAGAGGAGTCTTGGGAAAGACAGCAAAGCAGAGAGGAAATCAGAATTGTTTTGCACATGGTATGCCCTTGAAGATTATTGCAAGAAGCAGCATATAAAAACAGAATAGAGAGAAAGAACAGAACGGGAAAAGCATAAAGGCATCCCTACAAAGCCCTAGTCACAAGCCCCTAGACAGATCCACCTTCAGGGCAGGGTCTCCGCCCCGGACCCCGCTGGTCAGACTGTCCTGAGTCATCTACACCCACACAGGAGGAGTCCTCAGTAAGCGAAACTTTCTCCTGGAGGTTTTTTTTTTTTGTTTTTTGTTTTTTTTTTTGAGGAAGTGAAAGGCATACAGAATACACACTGAGAAACTGGCACGCCCACACTCGCACTCCTATCCCCTTCCACACAGAACCCCTGCTCTTTATCTGTGTCTGGCCAACAGGCCCAGGTCATCCTTGGAGCCTCACTAACTCATGTTGGTCAGCCTAATGCTAACCCAACCATGCAGATGATTGAACAGCCAATCCCTCGCTAGCATGGACGTGCTCCATGGTTATGTGTGGAGATGACGCGGAGGCCACTGTGGGCAGGGGAGCCAAGAAACCTGGGCTCCAGGAGAGCCTCCTTCAGCTACCAGCTGTGACTGTGGGCACATCACCTTGGATGGCCGAGGAGCTTGGGAAGTCATGAACAGGTGAAAGCACGGCTCTGTGAAGGGCCCATTATCCACAACTAAATAAACGTAAACCTCAGTCAGCCAAACCTCAGTCAGCCGAAAAGTGAAAGTATCAAACTCTAATTAAGGCCTCAATTTAAAACACAACACCATGTAATTATAACGGGAAAAAGAAAATAAAGACCAAGTTAATCATCAGCACTCCCTTACCGGTTTGTTAATGCTGGCTCCTGCTTGAATCAACCAGATGAGACACTGGGGGTGTCCCCCAAATGCCGCGATGTGGGCCGGGGTCTGTGCATAGCGTGTAGTGGAGACGTCCAAAGTGGCCCCAGCTCTCACCAACTGGATTAGGCACTCCAGCTTTGAAAACGGCAGGAGGGAATGACACATGTAAATGTCATATACTTTTATATACTACATAAACTATTTCAACGCTATGATGCAGGTAAGTAGCATTTTTTGTGACCAAGCTTTTTTCTAAGGGAACAGTTAGAAGTCACTCCTTCGTGGTACAAATTTTAAATAGGTATTTAAAGGAGTACTTTCCTTGCCCTGGTAAAAAAAAAAAAAAAAGTTGGTACACAGAAAGTCAAAAAAACTGACACCACACAAATTTAAATATTGTTTTCCTACAACTGAAAAATCAGAATCAGTAAAGACTGCAATATTCAAAGACTTCTCACAAAACTGCATCTTGCCACTTTCAAGCACCTCTACAGAACAAAACCAAAGTGATTGGTAGTTTAAAAAGTCTGTGTAGCTATAGTACACTCTTCATAGAGACTATTTTGTGTAGTCTACACAATTGTGCTCTGCACACCTTTACACACACGGCGTTCGAAGAAAACTTGGTCGAGGGCCATTCTCCAGATCCTGGTTTTAGGGACCACATATGCAGAGTGAGTGGCAGCACTTAAGTGTTGACACTCTGCGTGCTCCCCCCCACCACCACCACCATTGGAGGCCTACAGGGCATCTAAGCTCTGGATTCCTGGGGCACATAGGTGGGGCAGCAAGACTGCACTCTGCAGCCAGGCACTGCAATTATCCTAACCTGGCTGGAGGAGCTCGTCACACTCCACTTACATTCTCCAAGTGCCCACAGAGCCAGGCGCTGTCCACAGACCTCACTTGGCCTCGTTTCCCCTCTCGAGGCTCACAGCCGTTAGTGGAAAAGCTCCAAGTGCCAACAATTCTCTTCCAGAGGACAGAGCTCAAATGATGAACAAATGGCCACACCCTAGTCTCACCCTAGGTCTCTTAGCCTCTGGTCAGCAATTTAAGCCTTCCTTGCATAGGAGGTCATGCAATCCACATTTGTGGGAGATGAGCTCTCACATTTGGGAGTACACAGATTTCACACGGTGTCAGGTCTTCCAGGAACTACAATCTGGGAGTGACAGCTGATAAAGAGACACAAAAAAAAATAAAAGAGAGAGACACACCTTTGGTGTGCATTTACATACGCCGTTATTAACAGACTGGATGAAAACTGAAAGTGCCAATACTAGTGATAAGTCAAACAGGTTTCGAATCAAAAAAAAAAAAGAAAGAAAGAAAAAAGAAAAACAAGGATAAATATCAGTGGGCATACCAAAACCTGTTACTTATTAAGACCAAGTATGAGCTATGTAGACTTATGGGTTTGCTTTAGGAAACTGGGAAAAGTGCTGCTCCATACACAGCTTGTAAAAAGCAAAGTGTAATTAAAGATTTTAAATAATGTTTAGTTCTCAAGGAAAAATGAACCTCACGAAAGGTCAGGAAACGTGCACAGTTGGCACATTTCGAAGAACACTAGCTTGAAAGATGGGAATGGTTGGTAACATGCTAACTGCCCAGTTGGCTCTTGCACAGGGCAGGCTTCCTCCAGTTACATCTGGTGTCCAAGGCTGACCTACCATCTCGGTGCCACAGAAATAGAGGCTTCCAAAAAGTGAATTCAGGGGCTTTACATCTCACTGTAGGTAAAATCAAATAACCTGAAACCTACCATGGTAAGCGTGCTGAAGCCGGTTATGGCTCTAATCCCTAGAGGTACCTGGAGGCAGCCGGGTCCCTAAATACTCTGAATGAGCACTGTAATGAGGTCTTAAGCCTTCGACAGCACGTGCCAGACTGTCCCACAATACTATTATGCTCAACTGGACGACAGGTCAACAGGGGGGCCTTTTCAAGACCAGCTGTCCTCACCTGTGGCGGGGCTGCCTGTCCCCAAAGCACACGAGAGCCCACATGTGGAGGACTCACGCTCTGAGTGTGTGGGTAACACAGGGACGTGCCAACGCCCGGGGGCCAGGCGTCCTGGGGGCGGGGGTGGGGGGCGCTCGCAGCCCCGCAGGCACCAACCGGACTCTCCCACTAGAGGCGGCGCCGCGCGCGGCTTCCCGAGGCGACAGCACCGACTGTGCTAGATGCACAGCAGCAAGGGCATCCGGTCCGCCAGGCCCCTTCTTTCCTCCGCCCCGGCCGCACCGTTTCACGGGGAGAGCACTGCTCAATGTCCATAAACGTGAGCCAGTGTCTGCTGGGAGATGCAGCCGGGCCCTCGTTCTGGGACCGAATCCTTGGGGGATAAGCGGAGCTCCCGAGCCGCGGGGAACCGGGGGACGCGCCCTACCCTAACCCCGGGGATCCGCCGCGGACACGCGCCCCCTCCGCTCGCCCCACCCCGCCCGCTCCCTGGCCTCCACCCCGGGAGCCCGGCCCGCCGCGGGCAGTCGCCAACGGCCTCCGCTAGGGGCGGCGCGCCCGCGAAGCCAGCCCGTTTGAAACCTGCGCCGCCGCACACGCGCCCGGGGCCCCTCGTGGGCCGTCGCCGCGGGGCCCGCTCCCGCCCGCGGCCCCCGCCAGGACCCCGCCGCCCGTGCCGCCGCACATGCGCCCCAGGCCTCTCCTCGCTCGGGGCGCCCAGGCCGCCCACCCCGCTTCCGCCCCGCGCTCCCGGCACGCCCCGCGGCCCCCGCCAGGACCCCGCCAGGACCCCGCCGCCCAGGCCGCCGCACATGCGCCCCAGGCCCCTCGCTCGGGGCGCCCAGGCCGCCCACCCCGCTTCCGCCCCGCGCTCCCGGCACGCCCCGCGGCCCCCGCCAGGGCCCCGCGGCCCCCGCCAGGACCCCGCCGCCCAGGCCGCCCACCCGGCTTCCGCCCCGCGCTCCCGGCACGCCCCGCGCCCAGCGCCCGGCGCCCGGCGCCCGGCGCCTCGGGCCCCACAGGGAAGCCGCGGAAGATGGCGCCTTAAAGCGCCCGCGCCCACCTTGCCGAAGTGCGCGGCCCAGTGCACCGGCGTCCAGCCGTAGAAGGAGTCTTCGGCGGCCAGGTGGGCGCGCGGCGTCTGCTGCAACAGCGAGCAGAGCGCGGCCAGGTCCCCGTCGCGGCAGGCGCGGTGCAGCGGGAAGCGGAGCGACAGCAGCTCCTCGCTGGAGAAGCCCGCCTCCACGCCTGCGCCCGTTCCTGCCGTCGACATGGCCCGTCACCGGAGAGCTAGGGATAGCCTGCCGAGAGGACGCGCGGAGAGGACCCGAGAGGCCGCCGACCGAGCACAAAGGAGCGCGAGCGCCGCCGCCGCCGCCGCCGCCGCCGCCGCCGCGTCCCGCCGGCTGCGGAGCCGTGCCGAGCTGAGCGCGCAGAGGGGGCGGGGCGGGGCGGGGCCTGGCGCGGCCGGGCTGAGGCGGGCGGACGCCGGCGCTGGGCGGGGCCTAGAGCGTCGGGGGCGGGGCCTGGGCCTGGGGCGTCGGCGAGGAGGCGGCGAGCAGGGGGCGGGGCCTGGGGCGTCGGGGGCGGGGCCTAGCTGGGCTGGGGCGGGGCCGGGAGCGTCGGGGATCGAAGGACGCCAGGGCCGGGAGGTGGGGCCATGCGCTGGGGGCGGGACTTGGGGGCTGGGGGCCGGGGCCGGGGCTGGGGCCGGGGCCGGGGCTGGAGGTGGGGCGGAGCCCGGGGGGCTCCGAGACCCCTAGCCCAGCGGGTGGGGTCGGCCGTCGGCCGTCGGCCGCGTGTCCGCGCAGACCGCAACCCCGCAGTGTCCCCACCAGCCCGGCTCTGTCCTCTCAAGGTGCCTGCTGTCGGGCGAGCTGCGGGAGGAGTTGGCAAAACACTGGAAAGTTCTCCGTCAATGACCGACAGAGTCCTAACAGATTTTCTTCGGATTATGAGTAGTATGTGAAAATCAGTAATTCACCATCGAGAAGTAACCATTATCAACGTCTATGGGGGTTCCCTTATAGTACTTTTCTTACCATATAGTTTCATTTGTAGGCACCCTTTTTCTTTTCACAAAATTTGGAATCAGGAATCACAGTAATTCGACTTTAAGTAGGTAAGCAGGTGTCTGGGGAGACAATGGTGCTTTGGATACCAGCTGGCGGCGTTAGCTGGTAAGAGAGATTGGGCGCCCAATGCCGAGCAAAAAGAAATTGCTAATGTATGGTGTGACGTGCAGCACAGTCCTCGGTTCATGCAAGGGGTTGATGCCGCTGGTGCAGCGCTTGGGGAGGTGCTCCAGGCACAGTGAGTGAGGAGAAGCAGTAGGTCCTTCAATCAGGGAGCGATTACCATTGCATGGGAAACGTGAATGAGACAGTCTTCTCTCCGGGATTTATATCAGATGAGGCAAGAAAGGATGTTTCCATGGTTGAAGCAATCCTGCTTTTATTTGGACCAGAAAGGTAGAATGGTGCTTGTAAACTCCTTGCCAGCCTGGTCCACTCCAGAAGCCAGCTGTTTTTCTCTGCACGGACCCTGCTGATTTTAACCTAATGACCTCTGTAAGATGGTACCCTGATAATGACTTCCATCCTTCCTGGGAAAGAGGCATTCCGTTTTACAAAAGGATGTGAGCATGCCTCATCATCTGTAATATTGGAGGGAGGGCTTACTCCTCTTTACTGGGCCCCCTGCAGTTGAGGAGGCTGAGACACAGATAAGCTCAGAACTTGCACAAGGACAAACAGTGTGCCTGGGGCAGAGCTGAGAATAATTGCCAGACCTAGTTTCCAATCCAGTTAGATTTTTTTAACCTTGGAATTTGTTTTGTGTTAAGAGCTGTAAGGCCTAGGAAAAGAAAGTAGGTTATAGTGGCACCATAGGTAGAATGCCATCCTTCCTCCATTAAGACGACTTTCTGGTTTTCAGAGTTATTAAGACTATGCACATATCTGTTTATTGATTTATATTGATACACATTTTTAAGTAGCTGAAATAGGTCAACACAGATATGATGATGAGTCCCTAAGATAGCCTGCATGATGACTGTGGATATGAGGATTACAAGGGCTGTCTATGAGTGCTTCCAAATGCCACTCTTCTAGTTGATTAGTCCCAAGTTCTTCCCAACTCATTATTATTACCAATTATAGATTTTCTTTGGGATTTTTGTTTCTAAAGAGCTCGGGGGGCAAGGGGAAAAAAAACGATTCATCACTCACATGCTTTGATGTATTTGACAAAACAACCATAAATATGTGACAAAACATTCTCTCTTTGACCAAAGTCTACTCAGTCTCCCCCGAATTTCAACTAGGCTTAGACTTTTGGACTTGGGTGTTTGTCTTTGCATTGTCCAGTTTTAGCAAGACTCCTGCTAAGTTGGTTTAGCTGCAGTTCCCATCCCCCATATCTGATCAGGTTCGTCACCGCCTGGCTCCCCCAGGTAATGTCAGCTCACCCTGGCCTGCCTTCAGCAAGAATCCTGCTGGGTCGGGTTAGCCAGAACCAGCTGGTGAGCTGGCCCTGGTATTTTGTCTTAGTTATATTACAGCCTGGGTCACCTACCCAGGGTAAGGAGGTGCCCCAAACCGAGTCTGATCTCTCTCCTCCCTGCAAGGAAAAGTGGGGTTCCCAGTCCCACTGCCAGAGTTTCTGGGTACAGTCCACCTTACTAGGCTTTAATGAGCCACAATGAACAATGTTTTTGAATAATAACCTTTTTCTGTAACATAAGCAAACTTTGGTGTTAGAAGATATGATTCAGATAATGGAAGAAAGCAGGAAGACTCAAAACTCAATATATCAAAACAAAATAAAACAAAACCCCTCTGCATTTAGGATTGCATCAAATGGGGCAGGGCTCAGATGTAGGCACATCCCAGTCGGGGATGCACAAAAGTGCCCACGCATTGTGTAGACATCAGTAGGCCTGTTTTTACACTTGAAACAGGACACAGTCAACACTGTGTCACGAGAGATGAGGTTGGAGAAGAAGGTAGGACCCAGGCTATAGCGCCACGCTAAGGAACCATGTGAGACAGATGAGAGGCTTTGCTGTGATGCCAGGTGAGGGGTGAGGGCACTGAGGAAGACCCACATTGCACCTGCAGCTGGCTCTGCCTGGGCAGCCCATACCAATGGGGTCCTTAGCCTGACTACCTGCACCTCTCCCCACCATCCACCTCCCTCCATGTGGCCAGATCATCTAAATTGGACATAGGAGCAGTGTCTTGGTCTGTTCCGGTCTCCATAATAAAGTGCTACAGGCTACGGGGTGGGGGGCAGATTTAAACAACAAGAATAAATTTCTCACAGTTCCGGAAATGGGAAGTCTGAGATTGGGGAGCCAGTGTGGTCGGTTCTGGTGGGACCCTCTTCCTGGCTCACACAGCAACTTCTTGCCATGACCTCACCTGGTGTGGAGGGAGCCATGTGTCTGGTGTCTCTTCTCTCATGGTCACCAGTCCCATCATGGGGGCTCCACCCCCATGACCTCACCCAACCCTGATGTCCTCCCAAAGGTCCGACCTCCAGATAGCATCACATTGGCGTGACTTTCGGGGAGACACAGACATTCAGTCCATAGCAGACAACTTCCCAGACTTCTGTCATTGAGATATGACCCCAGCGTGGATTGTCACCACACTGACATGCACTTTCATATCCACAGAGAATCTGTGCTATTCATAATTCTCTTAAAATAAGTTTACTTTTTAAATTACTGACTTTATTGCTGTTCTTTTCATTAATAAAGCATCAATGCGTTTATGGTGCCAATTACATCTTCTCCCTACCCATTTAAACAAGTCCACAGCAAAACCACCAAGTGCTTCCCACATCAGTTCCTAGAGCTGGTAGTTACACAGCGAGCACTCTGGAAATTGCTGCCCGGGAGCAAAGTCCCAAATCCGTATGTTGACCGCCCCCTTCAGCCAGGGCCTCCCTACTTGAAACCATGGGTGCTTCTGCTGGAGGCTTCTCCCACCCTGTCCCCAGCACTTACCTCCCCTCCCCCCACTTCAGAATGTGACCTTATTTAGATATGGAGTCATTAGGAATTAGGAGATGTAACTATTTAAGATGAGGTCATGGTGACTAGGTAGACAGGCCCTAACCCAATGTGACTGCTGTCCTTCTAAACAGGGACATGTGGACGCAGGTGTGTACATGGGGACAACCCCACGGGAGCATGAAGGCAGAGCTGGGCTGGTGCTGGGCTGGCGCAGGGAGGATAGCGGCAACAGCAGAGGCCGGGCGGGGCGGGGGCTGGAGCAGGTCCTCACTTGAGGCTTTAGGAGGTCCAGCCCTGCCTCTGCCTGGCCCCGCAGAGCAAGAGACCATAGATTCCAGTTCCCCAAGCCCTGTGTGCTGGGCTTGGTTACAGCCATCCCAGGACACGCGCCCCCATGGGCTCCAAGGCTCCCCAGCCCCAGCCGCTGGACATGTCCCCGACTCTGCGTTTCTCCTTCCCAGAGCCACCGCCCTGGGGCAGCAGGAGCTTCCTTCCCTCTACTCTATGAGGTCCTGCCTTTGTAGCTTTTGAGTCTCTTTTTCACTCTTAGATGAAACATTTATTAAAGAGCCCAGCAAGTCAGTGTTACGCATATTTAATCATAAAACCTGGATTGTGAAGCAGCTTGCCCTGAGGTGGCCTCTCCACGTCCAGCAGACCTCATGACCAGCAGCAACATGCCCCACACAGGCTTCTGGGGGCCCCAGGGGGGAAAACAGACCTCTGTCTTCAGAGGCGGCTGTCTCTGATCTGAAAGGAGCCCCCAGGTGGGGCCCACAGCTTGCTCTGCAAACAGGTGATCTCTTGGATAAAGTACTGCACAGGAGCCTTTCTCTCCTATCTCCACCTCTGTCCCCGTCTCTATGCCTGTGTCTCCATATCTCCACCTCTATTCCTCTCAGTCTCATCGCCCCTGTATCTCTCGCAGGAGGACATGCCCTACCATTCTGAGCCTATAATAATTTGTTGAGCCACCCGAGACTGGAGGCTGAGACTCAGATGAGTTGGCAGCCCCTTTTCAGAAAGGGGAGACCTGGGACCCCTGGGTGGCTCAGTGGTTGAGCGTCTGCCTTTGGCTCAGGGCATGATCCCAGGGTCCCACATCGGGCTCCCTGCAGGGAGCCTGCTTCTACCTCTACCTGTGTCTCTGCCTCTGTGTCTTTCATGAATAAATAAATAAATAAAATCCTTAAAGAAAAAAGGGGAGACCTGCTTTGGACCAAGGATCTCAGCTACAAAGAGCACCAAGATTCTGGAATCTTACCAATTGTCCTGTATCTTACTTATGCCTTGAAAAAAACGGTGAAAAATTCAGATTTTTCGTAGAAAGAACCCCAGTTCTTCCCCCACTGTGTTTCTTCCCTGGATGTCTTCTTTGCCTTCACACATCACCTCTGATGCGTG